TTTACTAAATTTGTGATTTGATCTAAAATTTAATATATTATTATAGAAATATGTTTTCATCTCATTTTGTTCGCCCATTTCATTGGTCTTAGAAACCTCAACTCCCATGTTTTTGCTAAACTTTAGCCCATGTATAGTTCAGTTAAAAAATTGGATTAAAATCTAAGTCGAAGTCAACAATTTATTTTAACTACACATTTTATGGGATCTACAACTTTTCAGCCACACATTTCATCAACTTTTATCAATATCTACTAAAATTCTGATTTTTATCTAGACCAAAAAGGCTTAGTTTATAGCAGCGTAGAGAGAACAAGGAAATCTAGCAACATATCAAGTGATTATATTGCAAGAGGTGGAATTTAAACTAAGATGCATTTTTTGAAAGGAAATATTGATCTCAGGTTGTAAAGAGGTATGCATGGAAGAGGAGAGATAGAACTAAATTTAGTTTCATGTCAAACACTTCAAGCTGTGGTTTAGGTTGCTTGGCTGTCGGTGTTAAAAATGCCAAATTGGGCGTTGAGGTGTTTATGGAGGCATAATCATCAACATAATGAAACAACTCATAAATTTACAAAATATAAAAGTTTATTATAGCAAACTGTACTATCAAAAAATCCATAATAAATCATTTCAACAAAATCGAAAGTCTAATCCTCAATTTTAAACTAAATGGACCAACCAAGTAGCTAATAATAAATTAAGGAATTAGTAATCACATAACAAGACCACTAATTCAAAACTAGATCTAAAATTCCAAAACAAATGAAACAATTGACTATATATCTAATAAAAATATTCTTTTTTTTTTTTACTTCAAAAGAAAAGTAAAAATAAAAACACGAACAACTAAACTAGAAAAGTTTAAAAGAGAATAGTGAAGTTATGTCTACGGTTTCTGTCAGTTACGAGTTTAGCTTCCTGGGTTTTTACTTGTTCTCCCATCCTATACCCAATTAACTATTTTTAGTTTTAAGGGTTGGTTGGGTTAAAAAACACCGAAAACCTTAAAAACATTCTAGGATATGAAAAAACCATTCCAAAAGTTGATGGCCGTAAAAAAAAGGGAAGAAAAACTAGATATGACAAGACTATTAGACTAAGAAACTTAATATTATGTGCCCTGACGTGCACGGCTTAGTAAGTCATTCTGTAAGCCTTAACAAATGGTGTTCAAAGCATTAACTCTGAGGCTCTTGATGGAGGCCTCACATGAGGCATGCATCAAGGCATAAGCCTATGGTGCTTTTGAAAACATTGATTGTAGCTACATATCGTCTCCTACTTTTTTGTTGGAGTTATTTGATTTCTCTTTTAAAAAATAATTTGCTTTCATTTGTCAATTACATATAAAGTTACCCATACAAAATGATAATGCGTGCTCTAATCTCTCAGGACGTAAAGCTTATATGCGACACCTAGATAAAATCTACAAGCAAAGTGATATCTCATGGTTTACTCCAGTTGAGCTCTTTAAGGTATGTGATGGAGAAATATTTCTTTCATGCTTATTGAGGTAGAAGTTTTTCTTCGCTCTGTTGCTTGTTATTTTGAACCGGGTTGAAAATGTGGAAAAGAACCATGTATTAATTGTTTTGTGCTTTATAGAATAGATTTGATTAGTGGATTATCAATTAACAAGAAAAATCACTTTTAAAAAGGTTTATCGGCACAAAACGTCCCTACGCTTGGTCTTTAGTGTGTAAAACGTTCATATGGTTCAAATTTTTGCATTTTTACCTTTATTTCACGTTTCATTGTGAAAAACGTCATTTTCATCAAATTTATCCAATTTCTCAATTAAAAAATGTAAAATGATAAATATACCTTCTTATTTAAATAAGACAAAAAATAAAGAATTAGTTGCAACCATATTTCTAAACCTTTTTAAAAAGTGCAAATGAATCTCAAATAAATTATTAAAAAATTTAAAAAAATGACTCTCTCTCTCCACCACCACCATCATGGAGCCGCCACCAATTCTTCCCAAGTCCACCTGTTGCCGTCGCCAAAATCATCAAAACTTTACCCTTCCACTGGCGCCAATACTCTCTCAATCCATCACAACCAAACAATTACACAAACAACCAAAAATTTGAAACAAAATTAGCCCCCAAATACATCAAGAACTGCACGACCAAGTTTGACTCCAAAAAGTATTCAATTGGTGAATAATTTGGATCAATTGGATGCCTACCCATTGAAGTATGAACCTGATTTGAAATGCCTATGGATGAATTGGTAGAACGGAGCATGGTGAGTTCATAAATTGGAGGTAGCAAGCTGTTCGAGTTGGGTGGGTAGTTTGTGGCCGAAGGATCAATTTGGCTGTTAATTGGGGCAATTGAAATCACATCCATTGTCGTGTGATGTTGATAGATTAACATGTGGCAAATTATGTGAATCAACACCCTTAAACCCATGAATTGAAAGAGGCACATTGGCAATGTTTTCTACGCACAACAAGAGGGAATTCCAAGGTCTCAGCATCATATTGTACTATTTTTTGTGATGTTTCTCCATGAGTATGGGCAACTAGATGAGGTGGATTGATCGGCAATAGTGGACGACCATGGGTATTGTCGCAATGGCCGGAATTGGTGAAAAGGCCATGTGGTTCTTGGTGTATTTGGGGCTGATTTTGAGTCAAATATGTGGTTGTTTGTGTAATTGTTTGGTTGTGATGGATTGAGGAAGTATTGGCGCTGGTGAAGGGGTGAAATTTCGATGGTTTTGGTGGCGGCAACACAATGGTTTTGGGAGGAATTGGTAGCGGCTCCACGGTGGTGGTGGAGGAGAGAGAGAGAGAGAAGCCATTTTTAATTTTTTTTTTTAATAATTTACTTAGGATTCATTTGCACTTTATAAAAATGTTTGGGAGTGGTTGCAATTAATTCTTTTTTTTGTCTTATTTAAATATGAGGGTATATTTGTCATTTTACATTTTTTTGATTTAGAAATTGGATAAAATTTGATGAAAATGACGTTTTCCACAATGAAACGTGGAAATAAGGGTGAAAATACAAAAAATTGAAATGTATGGACGTTTTGCACACTAAAGGCCAAACGTAGGGACGTTTTGTGCCAATAAGCCCTTAAACATGGAAGTTGCTAATTCTCATTTTATTTGCCTGCTATTGTTTTCATTTATAATTGATCAACATATGATTGAATTATAATTTTTGTCTTTGCCGAAGGGGACCTGTCTATTCAAACAAAGAGCTGTTGTAAATTGATTTGAGAAGGAATGAAGGATTAGATTATCCTCATTTTGTAATTAATATTTAATTTCTTATGATCGAGAAGCCTAAATTTGCTATAGCAAAATCTTTATTCAAGCTCCCCTGTTTATTACTTAGTGTGTCAGCCAATGCTAGGTCCTAGAGGTGAGAATGACTTGAGCCCGCTCACGAGTTATTGGAGCTACATTTGGCTTTATTATTCCATATGGTGCCACTCATTTTTAGGATTTACTTGTTCTTGGTCAGAGCCTTCATGCTCTCCTTGACTGAGTTCTGTTATACTGATGTACAATTGTACATTGATGAGTTGCTTTGTTGAAGATAATATTCACTTTCATAAAGTAGAACATAATGTTCAAATTTAGAGTTAGTTTGGATATTGATCACATTGAGTAAATCATGAATGTAAAGGATATACATTAACAAATAAGATTAAAAATGATATGCAGCTATTGAGCTATACAAAGTATCTATATGTGTGGACAATGTGCGGTTATCTAAAATTTAGTTATTCAGGTATATCATCACCAGATTGCCTATCGACAATTTATTGAATGTTAGGACCAATCCAATACTGTCATTGTATAACTGCTGAATGGCTTAGTGGAAACGAATTATCTAAGTGCTTGTTTGTCTCCCATTTTGGGAGAAGAAATAGAGTTTTGAATAGTATTTTTTGGAGAATGTGTGGTTGAAAAGTAAAGTAATTTTATTGGTTTGTGTGTAGAATATTTTATTGAGTTAATATGTGGTGGAGATTGTTTACT